AGCTGCATCCTCCCCCAAATCACTTATAATTTTGTTTATGCAATGTTGACGCATGTGATTACGTCCCATTGCACGTGTGATGTGTGCACGCAATGCTCGTGCGCACGCAGATATATTTTTATATATTTCTACATTTTCCCTCATTTATAGTAAGGCTATACGAAATTCAATGAAATCTTCAGTTCTATTCATATCGTTGTGGGAAGATTCAACTACTGTTCCTTCATCACCTTAAATTAAATAGGGTGAATACATTTCATATAACTGCCTTGTGTTATGTTCTGTGTTATGTATGGGCCTGTAGGTCTCCTACACGGGCGCTACCTCATGAACACAGAATTTTGTAACAGCCCTATTTGGAGAAAGTCTCTTAATAATATAGAAAAGAAGGCATTACTGTGGAAATTGTTATTTTTTCTCTAACTAGTTCCGGGACCCCAATTCCTTAGTAATTTGCCTACTTTCTTCGAAAGCTTATACGATGGCAGTACTAGGATTCTGGTAGAGTGATACAGCCTTTTATCTAGCCCCAAGTATGTAATCATTTGCTAAAATTTATGACAAGCGCGATTCCATTGCTAACCCTCGTGTTTGCTCATACGGTTTACCATTAAAGGTACAATATATCCAGTACATCGCTAGATTTATCGATATCATGAGTGACTACTTAAGTTTGTACCTATTTACATTTCTAGGTGTTTATCTAACTTTGATCGTAGAGCATACGTGATATCGTATATGCATAGATTCAAGGTCAAAACTTAAACAAATCCTCACTTTCTACTTCCTACTCGTTGATTAGGGCTATCGAATTATAAGAATTTTTCACTGAAATCCGCCACGTCTCAGAGTTTTGCTTTACCTGGTGATAAATAAATCGTGACATTCTATGCATAACGCACTAATTATAAATGGAACTCCTTTATGTATTTTGGACAAACTAATGCCTTCTGAGGCCTGACATCTTGTTGAAGAAGTGTGTTCATTTTCTACTTCTCTTCTTCCATATTTGTCACGCAATCTTTCAGGCAACCCCTGAGGCTATAGTCATGCGTTCTGTCGGGTTGCTAGTGCTTACTTTGTGTGTCAATGTCATCTACATCCTGCTTCATTTTTTTATATAACTCAACCTAGCCATAACAACCACTGTTCCTCCATTTTCTTCCCTCAACACTAGGTAGTATTTCTATGGTCATAAATGCAAGAGACGACCTGTAATTTAATATCACTTATAGTCTATTCTGGTAGATGGTCGGCAAAACCTATTAGTTCTACCAGCATGTCTTTATCTTGAATTTGTTTTGGTTCCAAGATTATATTTGCTTGTAAGACCAAGTCCTCCATTTCACCTACTTCTATTTTTTGTTTATAATTTTGCGTGAGGTGTATTCATCCTATTTCAGTTATGGTTAATCGGTGACTTCTTCACCGACAATCTCACCACAGAATATAATATGGGAAAATGTCTAGCCTTCTTTGAAATTCACATTTATCCTGTGATCCAGGAACGCTTGTTGCAATTTGATGTTATGGTTAACGTGTCGAACATATACGCTGCACTGTCATGGTTCGAGTTCCTCTAGGGATTCTGATGAGGCCTAGGCGAGGTCGAAACTGTGGTCTAGCCTGAATGGAAACACCTTTTGGGAAAGCAAAGATATTTTAAATTCAATGGAAATTGAAGATCTACTCATATCGTTGTGGGAAAATTCAACTACCAGTCCCCTTATCACCTTAAACGAAATAGAGCGAATGAACCTCACCTATTTCTACGATGAAGGAAAATGTTTACAGCCAAAATAATTTACATTTTCTCGTTTCTTAGAATATGGGATATTAGATCAAAATGTGTATTTCAGTCATTCAGAGATGCTGTTGACTCGAAATGCCATAGTATTTTCTTGCTTTTAGTCTGCTCAAATCGAGTGCTCATTAATCCAACAAGGCCTGGCCAGATAAAATAAAGCAGATACAATTATTTTAACTAGTGTCTGTCACTGCATCCTGCACAGCTGTGCCTCATATCTAGTGAAGACAGCTGGGCTTTTACATTTATTTATGGTCGACTCACGCATGATAATAGGTGTACGGACTCCTATTTTGGCTTAAGTACCACATAATTTCTCAAAATTGCGTACTTATCTGCACTATTGTTTTCCTCCTTTTTGGGGGGGGAGAAGGTTAAGTTTATGATTTGTTCACTATACCTGTATTTCACGAACTATATAAAAAAACAATTTGCTAAAGCACGTGATGAGCCTCTGGGTTTTATAGCAGTGGGTTTACCTCGTCGCAACTTGGTCTTGTCAGGGTGACTTATTAGAACGCACCTAGTCCGAAGTCGTCTGCCATAATAGATTTTACATTATCTGAGCATTCACAATCGTTATTAATGTCCAGTTATATTTGCTTATGCTCGTTTTTATGCTTTATTATCTATGGGTATCTCCATTTACTCGAATTCCTAATATTTCTTGGCATCTGGTGCATAAATCTTAAATATGTGTTACTATCTTGACTATAACATTTGAATAGTTATTTTGAATACTGATTACTCGGTATGTTGGTAAAGCATCTTTGTCCTATTTTGCATTGTTTGCGTTTCATACGGACGCATTCTCAATTTGCTGGAAAAAGGACGTTTGCCAACTGACCTAAAAATCAAGCCTCCTTATGAAGAGCTAGTCCTTATTTGGAAGAAAGCGCAATATTTGTAAAACCTGCTATCCACTTTTAAGGGAGTTTATTAAAATCGTTCTGAGACAGACTGCTGGCGAGAGATAGCATCCTATTTCTGCCTCACATACACTGCATGATGTAATACAGCTCTGATTTAAGTAGAAGTCTCGTTAGCTGTTTTAAGTTTTGCTATTTTCTGCTAGAGAGATAGGATCCAATCACTTATTGCGGCTTCTTGTAGGTTTTTATAGCTGCCAGATTTCATGATGTGAACAATTTAGGAAATCGAGCTTTAGCTAATCTTATCATCATACCAAGCTACTCAGCAACGTGAACTATCACAATTACATTAAACGTTATGTGATTCCTTAACAAAGTTGTTTACTTACATCCCCAAATACTTCTAACACAGTTGCAATAAAGTTTCTTAAAGCGTTATTGCTAATCTGTCTTACTGCTTACATCTCATATGCGTACATCAAGCTAGCCGGGGCAATATTTTTGTAATCAACTCTTATGTTAGCGCAGGTTGGTTCCTCTGACACTATCAAACATATGGCTATATTTCATAATCGTTTTCAGATATTTTGCCGTTTGAATTAGCTATGATTCTCAATGTTCTTAGGTTCTTTCTCGTAATCGGGAAAAGTGTTTGCTTTACTTATGTAGGGGCAAAAATAATGCAGTCCTTTTTACGTTTATATGTATAATAACCGAATCAAGTCTTCTTAAGCTAGCTCTAAAGTTATGCGGATCCATTATCCTGGAGAAGTACATAATTTTCAAATTTCAACCGATTTATCTCGTCCCAAGATGGACATGAACAAACATCCAGGCTCTGCACATTTTTCCCATAGTCCCTTTAAATGACTCATTCTCAGAACATGGTGGTGAAAGGCATAATTTATCGTGCCACCCACAGCATGTGCAGTGCATTGGATTAAGTACATAACACTGATTATTTTAGTAGATTATCATTATTGTTGATCAGCCTAGCCAGATTCCGATTTTGAAGTGGTTGATTGAAGCTCTATTCTCTTCAACTTTGGTGTCTGGACATAATGTAGTAGTCTCTATCGCAATTTACATTTGATTTTAGTTCCAAAATAGTTCTTTCTTTACAAGAAAACTATGCTTGCAATGCTTAGCATCGCAAATAAATTTTAATAATCAAGCATCTTAACTCTACATGATCACGAATTATAGTTCTTAATTGTCGTCATTCACATATGAAGATTGCGTGCTTATCTTCATTTATCTGATAGGGAAGGCTGAGATGTCGCATAAAATAATTTGTGAAGGTTAATATGAACATATGAGTACAGGGATAATTTGAGTACAAGACTCCCTTATTTATTAAGTTGATAATTTTACAAAGTATACCATTAAGTAGAAATAGTGCTTCACTTGAGTTCTGTTGCTAGGTGCCAGAGAAGCTACTAACTTTGGTTTCAGCTTGTAATCAGAATATACTTCACAGCTTTGATGCCTTAGGCTCACAGAGGGGTTATAACTATTATTTAAACTGTCTGGGTATAATTACTGGGTGTGCTGATTTAAAAATTCTGTTTCTTTTTGGGACTTTTGCTATTCCAGATCACCTGGGAAACCTGCTGGTGACTCTGTGCGTTCAAAGGGACAGATATGTTCTTCTACAATTAATTCACTCCCTGGCGGTTCAAGCCATGCTCCAACCACTGGGTGTACTATTTCCGGATCCGGATCTCATGTCTTGCTTGCCAGTGCTGGCGTGCCGCCTAGCCATGGAACCTCTGTACCAGCCTGCACACTGCGCTTCCGCGAGTTAGAGAGTGAGATAAAGTCTCTTACTCGCGAAATAGCTTCCCGCGATGCCCAACTGGCCTCCTCCAAGACCCCTCTGGGAACCTCATCAGCAACCCTGACTGGAGTTACCAATTCCGTATCAGGTACAATCCACCCGGTTGCCATATCTAGAGGCCCCATTAGTACATCAACGTCCTGGAACGATCGAAGAACCCCTGGCAATAATCGTCACCCTTCCCGAAAGGAAATGGCAAGTTCGGCAACCTCCATTACATCTGGATCAGTGCATTCATACAGCGACTCTGTCTCTTCAGCAGTGCCATCGATAACTTCTAGTGCCCTTGGTTCGGCATTGCTTTCGCCGCACCATCTTCACCCTCACCACCAACACTCTTCCAGCCAGACTGTCGGACAGACCCCAATGTCGCAAACTGCTTCTCTGCTGCTTTTAGAACAGCAGAAGTTAGCTGAATTGGCTACTCGACTAGGTATACTACAGGAGGAGAATCAGAGGCTCACAATAACCTTGAAAGATGAAGACAAGATGAAACAGGAATTGATGACGGCTTATCACTCTTCGCTAAAGGAGATCACTGAATTAAATGGTGAGGTCTCCCTCCCTTCATACAGTAAACTGTCTAATAAGAAGCTATGCTGATCGATGTAGATTCTATGTGCTCAGATGAGGACTCAGGAAATTAACACTCGTTTTATGCGTAGGCTGATTCTTTAGCATTAGATATCACATTCATGTCTTATCTTAACCAATATATCCGCTTACCTATATATATAGGCATGGTTATAATCCGAAGTTTAATGATATTGATTGATTGATTAAATCGTTTACATAATAAACAATGAATCAACCCTAACATTGTAAACAAGTTGTATTTTGCCCTTCTCTATTATTATATGTTTTCATATGGATACTTAATTGCAGAGTACATTTCAAAACAAATTTGCAGAAATCATTAGTTATGGTCTTATTGATATCTTCTTAAGCTGCTTTGTCCCTTTTTGGTACACTCTTAATTCCCTAATACCTAATTAAAAGGCATGCATACCTCGGAATGGAATTAGCTCAAACCGATTCTTCCTCACCTAACTTATATAAATCGCATACCTCACATTAACTCCTCACATAGAATAAGCTCTGATTAGCTACCATTCGGCGCCAATTTAATCAAAAATGCACTCGTTTAAGTTTCATGTGAGTCCATTAGATCTTACTCTGATTAGAAATGAATTATAGTTTCTCTTAAAACAAGTCATTTGGAAGTACTATCTTGTTCTGTAGACATATGCATACACAGAATTGAAATTTTGTAATGTACTTATATAATACAAATAGGGAGAGAGACTAAATTTCCAAGAGATCGTTAATAAATTGATCATGTCATACATTTCAGTTTTTTGAAATGGCGAATGGAAGGGCTTTGTAAGTTGGCCTTACCGAAATTCGGAGGAATAACTATCATGTGGGGAAATAACTACTTGTGGCAGGATGGATAGATAGACTACTCTACTCTTCACAAAATCAACCAGTCTCCATTCCAAGGCAACTCTCTTTCGGTTTCCATTGAGACCACTTCACAAATCCATTCCAAATAGATTTTCTATTCGAAATTACTCATTTTCACCGAAAGAAGAGCGGTCAGCGACAATTTAATTATAGCCTGACTTTGTCGATTCATTGAAACGTCTTTTGATTAGGTTGGATATTTTATGCTTTCTCTACATGCTTGCAGATAAGTGAACTAGTTGTGGACGCCAGATGAAGTGAGCAAGGTTGTGATCGGACAGCATTCTCACCTAAACTATTTTAATTTTTTATCTTGCAATCTTGACGCATAATTCTTTTCATTTGCGCATGCATTGTGTACATGCAACGTTCGAGTTCTGTGAGGTATGATAGTCCTAACCACAACTGAGGTTATTCAGGCCTCTTGCTCAGCAATATTTCTCCTTCCCTTCCCCTCAGGCCTCTCCAACATCCACTACAGTTTCCTTTCAGTTTTCTATCTTCGTTCCGTCTATTCGTTATTTTGGCCGGTTCGCTGATTTCTTTAGTTTTCCTGATCTTCCGCTTGTTTACTAACCATATCCTGCTTTATACTATTATACCTTGTTTCTTGTGTATGCCGTGAGTTCGACCAAACCTTTACAGACTCTTTTGTGTTTATACGTATGTTCGGCTGAAATTACCGAGGCAAGCGTTATCTTATCTTCATGCATTTTTCTAATGCTCATTTTCCTCACTAATTCGCGTGTCCCTTCACGAGCTGGCAAGAGGATAACATCAGGACCACCCAATCAATAACCGAAATTCCTTCTTGTGTTAGACAACTCTCCGTTTGAGGCATGTTGTTATTTGCTGAATTTTCGGACAAATATTATGCATTAGCTCTACTTCGTGATTGTTCATTTAATTCACAATTAGAAGTAAAATATATGAAATTTATCACTAAATTCAT